CCCCAAAACCCCAAAACCCCAAAACCCCAAAACCCCAAAACCCCAAAACCCCTAGGGAGTGATAAATGGTTGAATTTTTTAGGGAAATTAGTATTATTAAATTTACGATAAATTCTAAGCTTAAGATTTGTAGATGATGGAAGAGTTTAAGATTAATTATAAAGACCTTAGAGGAGAAGAGTTTAACCATGTTTTCCGGTTCCCAATCGGGCATATTTGTCGACCTAGTGCATTTTCTAAGCCTATAAATTGAAAATTTCAAAAAAATCTCAGAGATCGATTCAAAAATGAGAACTTGCTAAAGCAGGCGAATGATTTTGAAATAGAAAGTCTAGAAGATTGCAAAAATCAAGAAGAGCAGCTGAGCACAATTTCCTCTGAAGAAGATCAAAGTCCACAATTAAAGGCCACTCCTTCGTTTAACCCTCAAATTTCTGATATTGCTCGACCGAAAGAATCCAAAGAGGAAATTATCGAAGAATTTATGTCGAATCTGAAAGCTCCATCTGAGAAGCCAAGACAGGAGAAACCAGCCACTAGGATTCTATCAGGATACCCTCAGAATTCAACTTATATTGTGGGCAATGATTCACCTTTTAAAAACTATGTCATTGAGGTCGGAACGAATCCATCAGAGCTAGATTTTTCTCCAGCGTACCAGTCTAAATTTACTCACACCAGCAAACCAAGAGTTGGAATCTACAGCCCAGAAGTCAGAAAAGCCAAAATCCATCGGTACAGAGCTAAAATCCAGAAATGGCTACGAGGGGAGCACAAGAACAAGAACCTGTACTATAAGAGAAGAGCCATCGCCAAGAACAAGAAGAGAATTGGGGGTAAATTTATCAAGCAGGTTATGTAGCCTTCATGAAAACCTCCAACTTGTGTCTGTAAAGTGTCCTTCATTTTTCCTATTTTTGACAGAAAAATAGGGGTATCTTCATCTTTACTGACCATAATATAACACCTTAAATATCTTGAGATGGGTTATAATCCAGGAGAAATATGCTTTCCTTGATCCTCAGGAAACCATCAGAAATCTTTCCAAATTATTGGAGAAAATCTGACGAAAAATAACTTTTCAACTCCAAAGGATCATTTTGGGGTTTTGGGGTTTTGGGGTTTTGGGGTTTTGGGG